TGATGAATTTCCACAAACACAACACACCTATATAAGCAGCTCCCAGATCAAGAAGCTGATCATTGCATCCGGGAACCCCTCACACCCCCTGCCATCACCCAGCGTGACCACTATCCTGACTTCTGTTTTCTTTTTTTCAATTGTGATTTAGGTGAAGATTTACAGAGCAGATTCACTTTCTATACAGCAGTTCACATACACTTTGTCTCATGACATTGACCACAATTTACCACAATGTAACAGCTCTCTTCCCACTTCCTCCCCATAGTTAACCTTTTCCCTGTGTCCATCCCTCCATGCACTCCTGCCCCCTGAGCTGTCTCCCTGTGCATAAGCAGCCCTTCTTTCTTCTATGATTGTTCTCTCCAAGGAGTGTATCTACCTGAGGTAAATGTTCAACTCATATGCCTGTTTTTGTTTGGCTGGAAACCATGGGTGTGGGCTCAGTTCCAGACCTGAAGGGCACTATCCTGACTTCTAACACAGCCGATTGGGTTAGTCTGCTTTTGTACTCTCTTGGTTTTAAAAAGCAGAGATGTAACTTTGATGACTAAGGTATGCCATGGTCTTCTCAACTGCCTCCTATGCATGCAAAAGCTGGACAGTGAAAAAGGAAAACAAGAATTGATGCATTTGAATTTTGGGTTGGTGAAGACCAGAATGCTTCTTAGAAGGAGGGATGGTGAGACTTCAGCTCGCTTACTTTGGATGCTTTGGATATAGACAGACCAGTTGCTAGAATAGAACATCCTGTTTGGCAAAATAGAGGGTCAGCAAAAACAAGAGAGCCCCTCAAGCAGGTGGACTGACAAAATAGCCCCAGAGATGGACTCAAGACATATCACTAAACATGAAGAGGGCACAGGACCAGGCACCATTTCAAGGTCACCACGAGTCAGCGCCAACTTGATAGCAGCTAACAATGTAAATGGAATCCTACAGTATGGACTTTGCATGTGGCTTCTGTCACTTCACATTACAGTTGTGGGATTTGTCCCTGCTGTGGTCTCCATTGTAGTTTGTTTACTCTCACTCCTGGGTAGTAATCCATGGTGTGAACGTACCAGTTTCCTGTTCTGCTGATGGACATTTGGGTTGTTTCTAGGTTTGAGGTGTTACAAATGGTGCTACAGTGAACACTCATGTGTGTGTCTTTGACACACGTATGGAAGCATTTCTGACAGCTATGTGCCTAGGAGGCTTTCATGAGGAGATGGAAGAGAGAGGAGGTGGTCAGAGCTCCTGAGTGGATGAGGGGCTAGGCAGTGCAGGTATGAGTGCTTCGAGGAGGCCCGTGAGAGGCCACCTGCCTCCTCCCTCCACGCTCAGGGTTAGACCAGCAACATTCCAGATATCACTCTGAGCAGCCTGGGAGGTGTTCCACCTTTTGTCTTCACAACCCTGGAGAAACAAACCAAACTCACTGCCATCAAGCTGATGTTGATTCATAGAGACCCTATAGGACAGAGTAGAACTGCCCCATAGGTTTCCAAGGCTGTAAATCTTTATGGAAACAGACTGCCTCATCTTTCTCCTGTGGAGCAGATGGTGGGTCCAAACTGCTGAACTTCTGGTTAGCAGCTGAATTGTATTAACCACTGCAGCATCAGAGTCCCTTATAATCCTGCAAGGCAGCTTTTAATGCCCTGAGTATATACCTGAGAACAGTAAGGCTCAGAGCATAGAGCCATTTGCATGGTCACCTGGTCAGCATGTGGAGTCAGGTGTTAAATCCAGGTCTGCCTGGTGGGCAGGCCCAAGTTCTGAAACCCTTGTAGCCCATGAACCGAGCTGCTGGGTGCCTCTCCCCACAGCCCGACTGGGACTGGCTTTTCACCTCTGGCCTCCCTAGTAGGGAGTTCCATAGCCAGGCGGTGCCAAGATTAGACGCACAAAGTCTAACCCTATGCACCGCACCCTGCCACACTGGTTTGTGCTCAAAGTCCTAGCAAGCTGTTAGGAAACTCTCTTCCCTTCACTAGGACTGTTTCCCAGAAATGTGGCACCTACTGTCCTCTAGGCTAGAAGTTTGTTCATTCATTTCAGGAAATGAATTCATTCATTCATTTCAGGAAATGAATTCATTCATTCATTTCAGGAAACTTCCAGCTCCTAGAAATTCCAGGCTGTGTGTGGGCACCAGGGATGAAGAGAACATGGCCAGCAGGGGCACCACCTTTATGTGTTGTAGATCCCTGTTGTATGAATTGAGACAAAGGGTCTTGAAGTGAAATTTTTGGTGGTCAAAAAGCTAAGTGGAGCCACTGTGTGACTCCTAGACGCTTCCAGAAGGCTGGCCTTGGGTTCTATACCCCATGGGGCTGAGTCCCTGAGACAGAAATGCCCAGGCTCATTCCCTGGATTGTGAGCTCACCGAGGGCAGCGATTATGTAAACTGGATTGGGGGGTGGCAGTGGTCTGGTTTGTAGTAGCATTTGCTCATTTCCATGATGTAAATACTCTTCACTGCAGCTCACTCAAGCTTTCATGATGACATTACTGAATAGGCAGTTAGAAGAGATGCAGTTAGTTCCTGAGGACCAGTGTGATGTGAGCCAGCCCCAGCCCACTTCCGCCACTGCTGTGTGATGCCTAGAGCAGTGCTTGGCAGGCAGTATGTGCAATGAGTATTTGGTGAATGAGTGAACATTCTTCAATTCCAGGAGTAGTTCTGAAAGCCATCTATACTGTAATTCAAACCACTGTTCACTGAGCAGTTGGGGTAAGCCAGTATCTTACATCCAAGACTCAGCACTGTGCAGTCTTACCTACTGTCCTTCCTCACAACCTCATGAGAATTGTGAACAGGAGCCCCACAGCCACCCACGACCTGACATAAATACAAACAACTCCAAGATGAGGAGCATAGGCCAGCAGACAGAGCATTGGGCTAGACGTCAGGAGACCAGGTGTTCATCCAGAGCTGTCATGGACTCATTGTGTAGTTACCCTACCCCTCATGATTTCCACTTTCATCAAAAGGCAGGCTGGTATCAGTTATCTACTGCTGTGTAACAAGTTATCCTGAAACCTAGTGGCTTAAACACCACCATTTATTGCTCAAGATCTGCAGTTTTGGCCAGGCTTCACTGGGCAGTTCTCCTGGGCTTAGGTGAGATCATTCATGCAGTTGTGGTCATGTGGTGTCTCAGCTGGGCCTGTGTGGGCCAAGAGTGCCTCCATCCTCCAGCAAGCACTACCCAGGTTTCTTACATGGCAGCTGCTTCCATCCCATTGGTCAAACCAGGTCACATGGCTATGCCCAGCATTAGCATGGAGAGGACTATACAGTGACTGGGATCCCAAGAGGCAAGATTCCCTGGGGCCAGTATTTTAATAGTCCACCACAGAAATGGATCAGGGTTCCCCTCAGGGCTTCTCAGTTCTGGCTTCTGGGATTCAGAGGTGCCTGGGACATACTGTGATGCCAGAAAAGAAGTGCTCAAAGACTTGTGGGGAGAGCTGTCAAAAGAAACCAGGAGCCAGCCTGAAGCGGGTGGCCAACTGAGCATCAAAAGGATGACTGACCGACTGTAAAATTGCTAAACAAATAAAAACCCATGAGAAGGGATGTTGTACTTGAGGAACCGAATTAATGTCATTGAACTGTACATGTAAAAAACATTGAAAACAATAGATTTAAAAATATACATACTTACCACAATTAAAAAACAAAGGAGGGGAGAGGAAGCCATTTTTTTTTTTTAAAAGAAAGAAAACACAAAAGAAAGAAAAAAAAAGATAAATGAATAAAAGGGGGAATACTATTTGGCAGAATACTATTCAGCAACAAAGAAAACAAAACACAGATGCATCCGTGTTTTGCGGTTCAACATTATTCTAAGTGAAAAAAGCCAAGCACAAAAGACCACCTACTGTCCAAGTTCATCTACAGGCAATGTCCAGAAATGGCAAATCTACAGAGAGTGGATGAGTGGAGCATGGGGCTGGCGGGGGAACTGACTGCAAACAGGCACAAAGGGCCTTTTGGGGGTAATGAAAATGTTCTAACACTAGATAGTGGTGATGGGTACCCAAGTCTAAATTTACTGAAAATCATTATATTATGAATTTTAAGTAAGTACATTTTATGGTATGCAAATTACACTTTAATGAAGCTGCTTAACACCAACCAAGAACCTTCTTTGCCAGTACTGCAGTGACTACCACAGCAGCTCATTTGGTGAGGGGAAGGATTTGGTGGGACTCTCTTGGTGGAGCTGGAGTCTATCCCCAATCAGGGAAAGCGCCTTTTTTCTGAATCCCAGCAAAGACATCAGAGAATTACTGGTAAATTTTAAGGGTGATTATGGTATTTTGGTTACGTTGGAGAACTACCTTATTTTTAAGATATACATGCTCAAATACTTAGGAGTGAAATATGTGTCTAAAGTTTATTCTAAAGTATTTTAGAAAAGAAATATACACACGAAATAAATATGGCAAATGTTAATTTCTGAATCTAATGTTCTTTATAGATTTTTTTTTTCAAACTTTTCTGTATGTCTGAAATTCTTCAAAATGAAGTGGTTTAAAAAGTACCTTTCAAATGAAACTTGCAATTTCCAAGTGCCTATGAAAAAAATTTGAGGATTTATCTGATAAACTTGGATCTGCCATATCCCTAAGTTCTAGCCCGAGTTTGCAACCCCTGGACTGTCCAACGCCTGCATTTTAGACATGGAAACTGAGGTCCGGAGAGAAGTGACCTCCCCAGGATGGTAACTGGGCTGGATCCACTCCCAATGGGCTCTCCCTGCCAGGGACAGATGGACCCAATGAGCCTGCCAAGCAGCCCAAGGGGGATCATAGCCCCCAGTCGCTCCCCCAGACCTCCCAGAACCTCCACCAACCATACCAAAAAGAGCAAGTCCCAAGCTCTGGCCCAAGAAGCAAATGGCCACACCACACATGTGCCCAGCAGTACAGCTATGTGGAAGGGAATCATTTATTTGACTCACATTCGGTGCACACTACCATACAAAAGTTGGAAGCGGCAACAGATCCAGTGCCAGAGGCAGTGCGTGGACGTGTAAACAAAGACAAAACGAAAATGCAACTTCTGTGTGATCGGGGAGCAAATCAGAGGGGCCAGGGCTCAGGCCCAAGAATACATTCACAATGCAGGGTTAGTGCGAATGAACGGAATGTAGGAAACAGGGAGGGCCGCCTCGGCTCCCTTCTGGGCATAGGCCTCCCAGGTGGGTTAGGGGCTGGAACCATCATTAGTGCCCAGCGGTCCTCCAGCTGGGGAGCAGGAGGATGTAGGAAGGGGGTGGTCTTGGAGACAAGGGCCACATCCAATGTCATCCCCTCTCCCCCACGTGGGCAAGATCACCCCACTCCTGGGACATCTTTTACATTCAGGGAGAGGGACCCAGGTCTGAGAAGCCAGTCCGAACGCCAGAGTATGTGAAACCAGCAGTGCGTTTTTCCTGCAGGTCTCAACCTGGAAAGGGGCCGTCTCAAAATAAAGTGTTAAGGCAATAAATAAAACATCCCACCTCTGGTGAAAACACTGTGAAGATGTTGAGTCTGCAGGGCTGACAGGAACCTGTCAGTGTGGGGATGCAGTTGTGGAACAAATGCCAACAGGACTTCCTCTGCAGGTACCCCCCCTGGATGTGGGCTCTGTGCAGCTACCAGCTTCAAGAGCATTTGTGCGTTGAGTTGAAGGCAAGTGCCAGGCAATCCATACTGGTTTCTCGAATAAGAAACCATTCGGATGAGGGCAGGGAAGCTGACCTCCCCTATGTGGTCTTTGGGCCCCCTGACTCCTGGGATCATTGTAATGGCAGCACAGGTGCCTGAGAGTAACTGTTGGACAGGGTCCCCAGCTCAGAACCTAGCACAGCCCAAGGAGTTTCAGGCTCAGAGAGAGAAGTGGGTGGAAGCGGAGCACCCAGCCCCACCACCTCCTGTCTTTGGTGGGAAGACAATCTCTGGAGGGTGAGGGAATGTCTTGAGTGATGTTTTGGTGCTCGGTTGTCAAGGGCCCAGCCCCTGCCCAGATGTGAGCACAGAAGAGATGCCTGCTCTCCCTCCCCCCTCTGGACAGTGCTCTCAGGCCCCCAGCCCCATCCTCCTCTCTCTGGAGTGGTAGATGCTCCAGGCTGATGGCAAGTGGTGGGGCAGTCACTGGAAGCCAGAGGCCATCCAGCCCCAGATTCATTCTTGCTCAGGACACCCTGACCTTCAGCACACTGCACTCCCATCTTCTACCTCGGCCCTCCGAGCCTCTCTGCCAGCATCTGTCAGCAGTCCCCAGGGCCTCCTGGCTCTGCCTGTCTGAGTGTTACTCCTCCCCTTCCTCTCACCCTCCCTTCCTCTCCCTCAGGTCTCACCAGCCACGGGTCCCAGCCTCTCCTTCCCCTCAGCAATAGCTGAGGCCAGTCAGGCAGCCCCCTCAGGGCTCCAGCAGGCAGGATCTCACTCCAGGCCCTAGCATCACCAAGGAAGTTCGCCTGTGGGTCTTGAGGATTCCCAAATGATGAACCACGGCCTGGCTCTACCACTACCAGGCCACTGACACTCTTGAGGAGAGCCTCTGAGGACCTAGTCTTGTCAATGCCAACCCAGAGAAAGGAAGGGGAAGCCCCTCTCTGCCATCGTCTGTGAAGAGGGCCAGGCAGCCACCCCTCCCGATGGCCTGTTCCGCTTCAGTGCAGCCCCGCCAGGGGCCCGTTCTCTCGGGGCAGCGCCCCGTTCAGGCTGACGGTGCTGGCCACAGGCACCCCCAGATAGCCGAGCAGGATCTCGCTGCGGCGCCGCGACAACTGCAGGATGTCATCTGCCAGTGCCGGCACTGACGTGTAGCGCACGTTGTCCAGGTCAAACATGTCCCTCAGGTACTGCACGATCTGTTGCTAGGGGGACAAGGATACAGCATGGGGCTCGGGTTGAGGTCCCCATTCTCCCCTACGGCCCCCACGACCACCACAAGTACCCCGCCCAGTCTCTCCCTTCCTGGGGCTCCTCCCCTCCTACTGCTTCCTCTGGATGCACCTGGCCAGGCTCCCAGCAGAGGGACAACACAGCCCCTCTCCAGGTACCCCCACTCCACCCTTCCTCTGGCAGCAGCCCAGGCTCTCTCTCCATGCTTGGCCCCTCTTAGGGTTCCATCCCAGGGGCCAGGGGCCCAGGCCCAGGTGAGAAGCAGCAGACACTGCCATACCCTCAGTTTACCTTGAAAAAAGCACAGACTTCAGAGAGCTGGAGCTTGGGTCCGAGGAAGCCAAAGGCTAGGACAGGGCTAACGTGCTCCGATACGGAGTAGAAATGAGAGATGAAGCCATCGGGCACCTGTGGTGGTGGTGGTTGGGGGGCAAGGCTGAGGGGTCAGGTGAGGGCCCCGGGAGGGTGCAGGTACTTGGGCCCTGGGTCACATAAAGAACTGGGCTTTTGAGGCAGAGATGGCTCGTTCATATCCTTGCTGGATGAGCCTGGGCCAGTGACTGGAGTTTTCAGAGCCTTGGTTTTCACCTCTGCAGAACAAAGGCACCCACAGGGCTGCTGTGGGAGCTGCATGAGGTGAGTCCCTGGTGGTTTAGCACAGGAAGAGCCTAGAGCACGTGGCAGTATCAGCAGCCGGTATCAGCTGGGCAGCAGAGCCCAGCTGACAGCAGAGCAATGGATCGCAGCCCAGACAGTGTGGCCAGCTGCCGCCTGGGAGCACAGATAACAAACGGCAGTCCAGGAGGTGGAGAGGCTGTTCCACCTGCTCCCCTGCGGCATCTACCCCCAAGCTCAGATGCCTCTACCAAGCCAGCCATGAGTGCCCTTTCCCTTCCCGTGGTCCCTTCAATGCTTCTTACAGACCTAGTCTGTGCTGGGCCCTATGGGGAGAGGTTAGTCAAATCTACATGTGTCTTCGGGGAGCTGCTGATCAAGGGACAGGCAATGAGAACAAGGTGACCAGTTGACAAAGGTCAACAGGTATAGCAGGGGGCGGAGGGACGCTCAGCATTACTCCACCCACCCCACCCTACCCTACTCTCAGACCAACACATGCCCAATGGAGTGGCGGCTGAGCCAGGTACCCAGCAAAGGGAGTCTGGGGCCCTGTGCAGTGATCCCTGGGGCCTGTCAGAGTCACTCACCATCAACAGCCTCCTCTTGGCTTTCAGCACCGACCAGCAAGCAGTTGCCAAGGCCTAAATCAGAGATGGTGCCCTCTAGAGTGTCAGAATATCAGGCCTCACCCGTGTCTACCTCCCAGCCTGGGACCAAGTCCTTATTCCTGCTTATCCCATCCCAAGAGTAAAGACAGGCTCATGCCTGAGCACAGACAAGGTAGTTTCCTTCCTTCCAGTCTGGAATCAGAAACACCTAAGTTTGAAGCTAAACTCTCACCCTACTACTGCAGGTCCCTGGACGAGCTACCCAACGTCTCTGAGCCTCCATTTCCTCCTGTGTAAAATGACTGTGACATAGCCCCTACAAGCTCTCTGAATGGTTGTTAGGAGCAATGGCTTCTGCCCACACACTGCCTGCCACCTAGTAAAAGAGCAGCCCTGCCCTTCTGGGATGACATGCACACAACGCAGGCACAGTGGCTCAAGTGTCACCACCTGCTCTGCCGGGGAACACTCACTGGGCTCTCCCTCTGTTCCTCGTTTTTGTTTTGTAGTTTTTCCGTATTTTAACAGGATGCAAATTTTTTGAACAAAATTACTACAAGCACAGAAGAAGGAGAATTAAGTGTTCAAGTACTGCAGGTGTGAGGGACCCAAGGCCCAGGCTCAGCACAGACAGAAACTGCAGGCCATGTGCTTCCACATGGGAATAGAGGGAGAGCAGTGGAGGCCCCTGGGAAGCTCTTCCCGAGCAGATGCTCGGTCTGCCCAGCCACGGTGGCTCCCGATCTCAGGGCAGGGCAGCCTAAACAGAGGTGACCGCGGCCCGACTGGGTGGGGAGCCCTGTGTTGGTGCCCAAAGCCAGGCACGGAAGGGTGCGTATGTATGGGGTTACGTGAGTGTGTGTGTGTGTGCACGTGTGCATTTGGGAGTGGGAATGGGGACAGTGACATACCGTCTCCTTGAAGCTGTCAGACAGCCAGCGGTTCCTCAGGATAGCGAGCACTGAGGATGGGGGATTCTCCAGGTCCTCAAACGCGTCCATGAGGATGAAGTCGAGTACAATGTCAAAGAAGCTCATGCACACCACCTGTGAGAAGCCTGCACTGGGTCCCAGCTGCCCAAACTGCAGGGCCACTGTCCCAACTGGGAGACTAGGACCCTAAGGTGGCACAGTGGGTCAGGGGCAGAAGGGGCTGCCCTGCTCTGTTCTGCAGTGAGGTGCAGGCTGGGCCTGGACAGGATGGGGGGCTTCTTGCAGTTGTGGAGCTGAGCCACCCCCATTTCTTGCTCAAGCACTGCAGGTGCAAGGGACCCAAGACCCAGGCCCAGCAAGGGCAACTCACCCCTCGGCCCTCCAGCTCCAGCCGTGTGGTGGCCCAGGTCTCAGGCCGCAGGGCGTAGCTCAGCATCTCCTCGTAACTCTCCAGGAAGCCTTTGGGACTCTGTGGGGAAAAGCACAGCTTGTTCCGGTTGCAGCAGAGGCCTCAAGGCCCAGATGGACTATATCTGCAAGGTCCAGGCTGGCCTGTGGATGGGGGACATCCAAGGGTGAGGCCGCGTCCTGTTCCCAGGAAGCCATCAGAGAGAAAATGAGGTCACGAAGCCTTCCCCAACCACCTCAACATGCTCATCCAGAAAACCAGGGCATGTCTGGGGGAGACTCAACACCAGCACTCCCAACCACCTCTGCAGCTGGCTCACTTAACTGAGCATCTACTGCCATCCAAGAGACAGACACAGCCTGACAACATGATCTCACTCTGGAGGGATGGGCAATTGTGTGAAGGTTAAGAGTCAGGAGGTCAGAGATGCAAATCTCTGTGACCTTGGGCCTCACTAGTTTTCCTCATTGGTAAAATGAGAGAAGCTACAGCCCCACACTCATAGGGCTGTGTTCTGGAGACTTGCCAAGCTCCTGCATGTAACATAATGGGTTCAGTGCCTAGCCTGATCCTCACTGAATAATGCAGAAGGCTACTCTCACTAAGTAAGTACTAAGACTGTAAGGATATATGATGCATTATTTACTCCCTAGAGTCCTGACACTTAGTTGGGGCTTAAGACACAATGTGTGCATATAGATCTACATTTATGGACATGGAAATAAAATAATACATGACAGGATCCATTCTAAGCACAATAAGGTTTTCAGTGGCCAATTTTTTCAGAAGTGGATGGGCCCATCTTTCTTCCTAGTCTTAGTCTGTAAGCTCCACTGAAACCTGTCTATCATGGGTGACCCTGCTAGTATTTGAAATACCTATGGCATAACTTCCAGCATCGCAGCCACACAAGCCACCACAGTACAACAAAATGAGACAGATGACTGCCCCATAGAGGGAGAGGGAGAAATATCGTCTGCCAAACCTATATGGTCATGGGTATAGTCTAGTTCACTTACTCACACCTGATCATCCTGCCTACTTGCCTATGTATCTACTCATGGATCAACATTTGTTATTACTGATTATGCAATACTGTATAACAGTGTTTATCTGTGTTGTCTATAACTCTGGTGCACTTCTCTTTTTTTTCCTTAGCGATATTGTGCTGGTCACCCACATTTTGTGCACTGCGTTTCCCTTCACTCTAATTAATACGTGTTTCTTACCTAGTTAGCAGTTTTTTTTCTTCTCTCCTTCCATCCCTGGTAACTATCAAAGAATGTTTCTTTCTATTCGTAAACCTTTCCTTGACTTTTTATAATAGTGGATTCATATAATATTTATCCTTTCGTGATTGACTTATTTCACTCAGCATAATGTCCTGAGTTCATCCATGTTATAAGGTGTTTTGTAGATTCTTCATGATTCTTCAATGTTGCATAGTTTTTCATCGTGCGCATGTACCATACCATTTTCCACAGTGGTTGCACCATGTTAGAGTCCCACCAGCAGCATATAAGAGTTCTAAGCTCTCCACACCTTCACTAGCATTGGTTGTTTTCTGTTTTGTTTAATTTTGCTATTATTTCTGGGGTGAGATGATATCTGTTACTTTTTCTTTTTTTAATTTCTCTCTCTCTAATGGCTAATGACTGCAAGCATTTCTTCATGTTTGTTGGCTGCCTGAATATCTTCTTTGGTGAAGTGTCTGTCCATGTCCTCTTCCCATTTTTAAATCGGATTTTTTGTGTTTTTGATGTTGAGATGTTGAAGTTTTCTATAAATTTTAGAGCTAAGCCTTTCTCAGATATTATTTTCATTCAGTTTTAAAGAGAATTTGCTAGGATGATCTTGAGCCATCCCCAACTTTTCCCAGTTTCAGTCTCCTTATCTGTAAAATGATACAACCACGGTGGAAACTGCTTAAGGCGATTCCTTAAAAAGCATGAAACAGAAATACTATTTGATCAAGCAATCCCATTACTAGGTATAGATCCTAAAGGAGTGAGAACCAGGACATGAATAGATATATACACACCCACGTTCACTGCAGCACTATTCACAATAGCAAAGAGATGGAAACAACTTAAGTGCCCATCAGTGGAAGAATGGATAACCAAACTATGGTATATACACACAATGGAATACTATGCAACACTGTGGTAGTTAAGTTTGTGTGTCACTTGGCTGGCCTTAGTTGAGTGGCTAGGCAGACTGGTAATCAACTCCATGGTAGAATCTACTGTGAGCAGCTGAATAGCTGCCTTTGGGTATGTGATCTGCTTCCTGTATATAAGGAGAAGCCTTGGGGAACGGTCTCCAGCTTATGGCAAGATTGAACCCTGCATGTAGCCAAGTTGCTGTTCAGCAGCCTGCCATGCTCTGCCAACCTTGGGACTTTCAATGGACTTGAATCGATGGCCTGCTGTGTTGTTTGGTAGCATCAGGACTGTGCTGTTTTATTTGTTGACCTTGGGCTTGTTAGCCTCAGCAGCCAGTAGCTGCCTCAGTGAAGAGATGCCTCTAGCTTCAGTGGGCCGGGAGCAAGAGGCAGAGCTGAAGCCCAAGGTCGAGGGGCTTTCACACAGCCCCTAAAGTCTGTCACTTGGAACTTGGACTTCTAGCCTCCTGAACTTTAAGAGAATAAACTTCTGTTTCTTCAAGCCATCCCATTTGTGGTATTTCTGTTAGAGCGGTATTAGGTAACCAAAGGAGCTCTGGGTAGCATAGTGCCTAAGGCA